ATCTCCTACATAGATCCCCCTTCCAAGTGGTTGACAGTGATAGCTGGGCACCATCTAGTTCATCTAGTCATATAAGCTGAAGATCACATGGTGTACCGGTCCCTTGGATTAATTGTTTCCATGAATCTTTGGTTTTCTTCATTCTTCTTTGCTCCAGATGAGGAGGGTTTTTTGTTTGTTTGTTTGATTGATTTTTTTTTTCCCCAAAATCTTTATGGAAGCAGATCTCCAGGTTTCCCTCCCATGGAGCAGTTGGGTAGGTTTGAACTGCTATCCTTTTGGTTAGCAGCTAAGTGTTTAACCATGGCGCCACCAGGGCTCCTTTTCTTTGAGGGTACTATGTTGTTATTTGAATTAAATAGTAATACCAGTTACTCTCTCAGGCTTTCTACTTCTCAGTTTTAAAAAATCAAATGTTTTTGTTTAAATATTTTTTAAACACACTTAATGAGAAAATAAGATACAGTGATTCTCTGTGGCATCATTAAAAAGGAAAAAACTAATTGCCTTCCAGTAGGCTGTGACTCACGGTGACCTCATGTGTGTCAGAGTAGAATTGTGAACCACAGGGTGTTCAGTGGCTGATGTTGTAAGTAGATCACCAAGGTACTTCGGGGTGGACTTGAACCACCAGCCTCTTAGTTAGCAGCCAAACACTTAACCCTTGTGCCACCAGGGCTACTTTGTTCCATCCTCTCCCTCACAACATACATTTCTTTCCCTTTCTCAGACAGTTCTCTAAAGCATGAGTACCAAAGGATGGTCCAGTACAACATACCCAGCAAAGACCTTACCTGGGGACAGGTGAGTGTGGTACCAGGCTGTCCTAAAACCAGAGGGGCTTGATTTTATCGTTGTTGGTGGCATATATTCTCTTCAGGCATCTGAGATTTCGGTCAAGCTTGGCTCCGTTGCTAAGTATGAAATCTATTCTTCCCTTTCCTAGATACTTTGTAAAGCCTGTACAGTTTCTTCCTAGCTCTCACCATAGTAATTTTATCAAATATATCTTAATCTTGAATTATTTTGGCCTATTGGGTATTATTGGTAATTTGATGGCATTGATGGATGAATTCTGCATGAGGGTTATAGATTCACAGTATCCTGGGAAACTGATATAGACAGAGAGGTAGAGGGACCAAATTCTTCCTCTAATGTCTTGTCAAATTTGAGGATTTATTAGTTTCATCGGGAGTCTCCAAGGTCATACAAGAGCAAGGTCAACAGAGTTTTCTTCCCCCTTCTTTTCCAACAAACCCAGTATTTTTCTCCATCTTTCCCTCTGAGCAGCTTTGATAACAGTGGTTTCTTCTGCTGCCCTGTAGGTATTTGGTACCTTGGAGTCAATCAAAGATAAATATGAATTAGAAGATTATTCCATTAGTCATAATACACTGGAACAAGTATTCCTGAGCTTTGCCCAAACTCAGATTCAAGAAGAACACAGTTATACAGATAACTGAAGTGTGGTTCCAACCACTACCCCTCACTTCCTTGCCTGCCAGTCTTCTGCCTTGATATGTACGTGTGTGTGTGTGTGTGT